GTGCTTGCCAGGGAAGCGCTTATTCCACTAAGCCATCTCCTTGGTCTCCAAAGTTTTTTTCATTGCCCTTGCTTTGGAGATATACTCTAGATCAGAAAAGATACTGTTTCATGAAACTTGCAACGCATTTTCTAGAAAATTCTCCTCGCTGAAGTTTGTGTAGTACTTTGTATCACTTCAAAACATTTTCACAGATATCACAGTTGGTCTTCCCAATAACCTTATAACACAGCATGTTTCAAAACCAAAATAGGTCAAATAAAACCAGCAGTTTAGAGGGAAGAGATCAGGAACAGTGGTCTCTTGTCAGTCTTCTCATTCACTTGCCTCATAGACTTGCTTAGGCAGTGCAGTGAAACTAGAAGAAGGATTCAATGAGCAACAAGTGCACTACTGTATTGTAGGAAGGCAGGTGGGCAAGCATGGGCTCAGAGAGCCTCACTCTAGCAGTTAGATCTCAGATCTAAGCTCAGACCTCAATTTGGTATGGAACTTCTTTTTTTTTTTATGAGTTTAAGACAGGGTGTACAGGGTCTTGCCATGTAGAATGGACTCATAGTGATTCTGTTTTCAGCCTCCCAAGTGCTGGGATTACAGGTGCATGCCACCATGCCCAGTCTCAGTTGCCATCTGAGCGTGTCCCAGGGGCAGGGCTGGCACAGAATGCCTACAATTGAACCCCAGCCGCTGTGCTCTGCTTAAGCAGGTGCTTTAGTCAGCTGAGCTATCTGGCCAGCCTTTGGGCTGGAACTTCTGACAACATGCTCAGCAGCACTCTCCTTATTCACTATGGATCTGATCAGCCCTGAGGTGGACATGCACATACTTCAAACAAGAGCTGATTCCTCCATCTTCATAAGGTACACATCTGGGTTTCAAGAGAAGTCAAGGCTCCTGCCATCTCTGAGGACATTTTTAATCTTGGACTTTAAGAACAGGCACAAGTGGATTAGGGCTCATCTTGTAAGGTCCCTGGAGAGCCAGAAAATAAAGCCCCCACCACCTGAGCCTCTAGGTCCTGGTGACCCTCAGCAGGAGAGTTCTGCACCTCCCAACCAAGGCAGCCTGCAAGGTATTCACAAAATTAGCTGCTTTTCCTGTCACCAAAGGAGCAGTATTTGAAAATCTGACATTTAAATAAATCAGGTTTTACCCACCCTGGAATAAAAGCCTGGTTTTTTTGGCAATAGAAAAGATTTCACCAAGTTGCTGTTCTGGTCTTCATTCAAGCCTTGCTAACGCATTCTGTCATATCAGTAGACACTTGATGGGAAGCTAAAGTAATCCTTTTAGGACAGACTACCCAGTGTGCTTATGATTGGATTTATTCTTTGCTAATGCTATAAGATTAGTTACTGATGACGTTATCTAAACCCTAAAAAGTTCAAAACTCTTTTTCACCTAAAAATCTAATAGGTGATAGTCTTGCACAAAATGACTGGTAGACCCTCTATGATATACAACCATGAACCTTTTCAGACTCATTTTAATCATTCCCTCTGCAGGATGTTACCCCTATACCTCACCATCCCTCAAACTCAGCGGTAAACCAGAACTCTCCGAAGCACGTGTCAACACCGCTTGCTGGGCCCCATCTTCAAGTTTCTGATCCAGTAGGTTCCAGGAGGAGCCAGGAACGTGCATGTCTCAGCAGTTCCTGGGTCCTGCTGCTGCTGCTCTCCTCATACCACTTTGCTGTGCCTTTACTTTTCCACAGCTCCCTAACTGAGAACACCAGTATTCCATGATGAATGCTTTCTCTGTAGGCTCTACTCATACTACATGGAACCCGCCAGGGACAAGGGAAACCTCTGGTCACCTGCCCCTTCCCTTGCCCTGGGCTTCATCTGCCCTTATTCCCAAGGGCAGAGCAAGTAAAGAATCAGAAAGCTCACTAAGGAAGGAGTTGGGGATACAGGGTCTCTGCTCCACACCATCAGCAGGGCATGGAGGCATGGAGCATGCCACCTGGAGCGCTTGCCCTCTGCTCCTCTCAGCTAGTCCTCAAAGAGTCAATCCCAGGATTTGGGTTCAGCTAAAATGAGGAAAGAAGTGCAACACCCAGCAGAGGTTTCTAGAATTCTGCACCAGAATGCAAGGCTGAACTGAGAGCTAACAGTAAAGCATCACTGCTTTCCTTCACAAAAGCAGACCCCTTCCCCAGAGACCCAGAGAAGAAAAGGCACAGCATGGCCAAGGCAGGTTTCAGCGCCACTTTATCGCCTGCTTGAATGATCACACAAAGGTCATCTTAATAGCACTCTGCTCAGACTCCAGTACCCATCTTCAAATATGAGCTGCTTCGTTACACTGTTCCCCCACCTGCACTTCTGGTGGACAGACTTTACCACTTTTACAAAGTTTTTCCAGTTTATCTGCCCCTCTCAAGGAACTCTGCAGAGCATGCATTAAGTATTTACTGAACTGAAATGTACTCATGGATCAGCCAGTCCACCACTAACAAAGTAAGATAAATTAATGATACTCAATAGCATTTCATATTTGGAAAAGTTGTTCTTACTAACGAAGGCACTAACGATTATATTTGGGGAGAAAGAAGTTCAGCCATAATCCTGAAGAGCTTTTATAATGCTTTTGAAAATTTCCAAACATTCTATCTGCTGTTTCCATGAATATATTCATAATATAATGCATATGGCCTTGAAAAACTCTTCGTAATAAAATGAAAATAACCTTGAGAAGTAATGCAAGAACTCAATTGGCACGCTTGATTATTCTCTCTTTGGAAACATGGCCCCTACTTAGCTTAAGTATCAAAGTTAAATAAAATAATGATCAGACAGAGTGAATTTTCTTTAAAGAGAAAAAATAGGTAACTCACCTTAAAATTAGTTGTAGCATCACATCTTCACAATGTAAACCAATGAGTGTTCTGAATAGTGCCAGGGACACCACGCAAAGCTGGGAAGCAATCAACACACATTCTCTTTCAAATACTGGAATAGCTTGACTCCCCACAGATGGCAAATAAATCAGAATTACAAAATAAAATGGTCTCTTTTTTTAGTAGTTTTGATAAAAAGCACACTGTTGCCAGTGAGAATGGGTATTTCAGGATATCAATTCTCCTATAGGAGCTAGTTAGAAAGCCAGTGCCTGGAATTATGCCACTGTGCAGAATTATCCTGCTATAAAAATTCCTATGCTCATGTTTGCAACTTTCAAAGACCCAGATAAACACATCCTCTACGGCCTTCCATATATGCATATATTCCCACTCCCCCCAACTTCACCCCCCCACACACATATACCTCCTCAGGTAGTTATTTTCCTAAATTAGTTTTAAATACAACATTGGTTATTATGAGAGAGAGTCACAGAACATTGCCTGTAATCTGGACAGCTCTCTTTAGCGCTCTCGCCCCAAACCTCAGTTTGGGGCAAATGTTCTCCTTGGTTCTATTTCCTGTATAGTGCTGACAGTAAGACAGGACTTGCCCACTAAAAAGTTCATTCTTCAAAAGCAGAATTCCTCTGATTTCCAAGAGGAAAAGATAGACTGCAGAATATGAGAACTATCCAGAAGTATATTATAAAATCATTATATCCTTTTGAGAGTAAGCTTCTATCAATGTACCAGGCTACTTAAGTAACGTAGGCTCTCATTCTTTGTACAGGAAAGTAAATGCTGGCCTCTCTTTTGCTCAGGATGGGCTTAGAACCTGGTCAGTGAAATTCACAGTGGTATTATAAAGAAACAGCTGTGCCTGCCCTGCCCCCAAATATCTCTTTTGTTTAGGGAAGGTTATATATTTATAGTCAGCCTGAAGCAAAATATTTTGTTCCACTCCAAGTCATTGCACAGAGCTGTTTGCTTACCTGGGGTGCCTCTTCCTGTCTGCTCCAGGACTAACCCCTACTTATTGTTAAAGACTTAGCTTAGGCACCACCTCCCTAAGGAAACCTTTCTTGTTGAACACCTGGCATCTATAAGGGCTTTAGATAGACCCTCTGTGGGGTATCTCTAACATAATTACAACCCTCTCCTGCTGCAGCAGCCAGATGGGTCTTCAATCCTTGGTCCCTCATGGCATCCAGGGGTACTTCTTCAGAAGGGCATATTATAGATAGCTAAGTTAGGTAGAAATATTGTAGGCAGGCAGGGAAAGCTGAGTCCTCAAAAGGTCAGTGCAGGAGCCAGCTGTGGCTGGAGGTTATTCACTGAAGGACAGGCTTTGAGAAAAAGAATATACTCCATATATTCTCCTAGGGTTGAACAACAGTGATTGCTATTGTAAGTAGTCATCAGTAACCTTGGGGTGGAGAACCAAACCTCCTTAAACCACCCCTTCCAGAGAAGTCCTTGTTGAGCCCATGTACATTTGTCAGGTGACTTGTTTCACCATTTGATCTCCATTTAATCAATAAAATCAAGTGACTATACTTGTTGTAATCTTATTGGTTCACCACGGTTTTGTCCCACCTCACACTCATCCTATGACTTGTCATTGGATCAATATTATCTAAGTGAATATACTTGTAATCTTGTTGACTGGTGATAGTTCTATCCCACCTTA